ACATGTATGAAATTCTCAATAAAGTTTTATTAGAGGTAAAAAAAAAGAATGGGTTTCTTAAGTTGCTACTCAGAAATTAGAACACCTAGAATGTTGGTTTTGTTTTGTTTTGTTTTGTTTTGTTTGAAAAGGATGCTGGCTTCTTTCCTAAGGATGGATCTTAGCTTTTAAAAAAATTTTCTTTGAGCTAGTCTAACCCACCACTGACACATTGGGGAAGGTCGTGTGACTTCTAAGATTCAACTTACTTGGTGTTAAATGTGCACAAAAGGTGTTTTCTTCTCAATAGTAATAATGATAATAATAATAACTTCTTTGCTATGAAGTTTGAAGAAAAGCTCTTATTGGAGCTCATAAGCAAAATTGTTCTCAATATTTTATGGACAATTTTAGGAGAGCTTACAAAGGCATCAACATTTCTCCTCCATAAACTCCTTCTCACCTTCCAGATGATCAGATTCTTCACTGGATAATGCTAACAGCTACTCAGCCCCATTGTCCCTGTCCCCTCCATCAAAGCTTATCCTCGTGTCCTATTATTTCGAGGACCCCTGGCTATACATGACTGACAACATAAATGTTAATCCTATTTTAACTTGAGATGTAGGGCCTTGAGTTTATGGAAAAGAGCCTAGTAATGACATTTTTAGCATCTTCTGGAAGATGGGTGAAGGGAGGTAGAGGATAGCAATAGCTCTGAGGTCTTGCAGCTCATGTTCATGGGCTGGTCTAAACATTGCTAATCATAAATATGTTTCCAGCTCTTCTTATACCCTTGCTAGATAAATACCAAACAAACCCTGACTTTTTTCCATTCTTAGATGATAGGTACAGAAAGAAGAAGATCAAGACGTAAAGCTGATAGCAAGGACTCTATCCTCATCCATAGAAAACTAGTACTATTTTTAAAGTGCTCTAAAGAAGGTATGACACATACACACACACATAGAGACACACACACAGAAGCTGGAAAGGTCAGTCCTTCCAGCTAGAGAATTCGCTCCTCCTGCAGTGAATGGACAAGTCTAAAGTTGCATTGTGAAACCGGTGACGGGCAGACAGGTGCTTCTGACACAAGCTCTGCTTCACACAGAAGGCCAGGAGGAGCCCAGTGTGATCCCAGAAGCTGCCCCAGAAAGACGGGCTTGCTCTCTGGGGTCTTTTGTACTAGGTGCAATCGGGCTGGTCCCAGAAGACTGGCGGCGTCTCCCTGACAACCACTTGGGAGGGTGCCTTATCTTAACCTGGAGTCTCCTTACAGATACCAAAGCTAAGAATTGAAGTGTTTGCACAGAAATGCAATGGATTTCTTCTTCTTATTCCTCCCTTTTTAAATGAACACATTGAAAATTTTCAATAGAAGCCAAGAGCCCCAAAGACTGTGGAAAGCTTAGGCCCATCATAAGACACCAAAACACAGGGAACACTGAAGCTTGAAGCATAGTGAACTGAAGGAGCAGGTGAGAAGCACACATGGTTATGCTCTACCAAACACACGTGCCCTTTTGTGTATACCTTACCCCAAGGAGAGCAGGAGCAGAAGTCTGCCCAGATGTTAACTGAGATACTCCACAGGAGAGGCACTAGGACGCACGTCTCATTTTTAAGATGAAAATCCTTTTTGGGTCTTGGATAGAAGATCTAGAGTGAGCCTTATCAGGCACTGGTCTTTGGAACCCCTTTCTGTCTTAGTCAGCACTATCCCCAGGGAGTGCTGAGCTGTGTGTGGTTCCCTATCTGTGACAGCTTTTGCTGCCTGACAGCTAGCTGGAGAGAAATTAAAGGACCTAGTTTTTCTTTTCTCTTTTTTTAATTAAAAATGTTTTATTATTTTTATTTTATGTGTATGAGTGTGTTGCCTGCATGTATGTGAGTGCACCCGTGCAATGCCATGGAGGTCAGAAGAGGGCTTCGGATTCCCCCGGAACTGGAGTTAAGGACAGTTTGTAGTCGTCATGTGGGTGCTGGGAATCGAACCTGGGTCCTCTGCAAGTGCAGTCAGTGCTCTTAACCTCTGAGCCATCTCTCCAGCCCCAGAACCTAGTTTTTCTAAAGTAAATGCAATACAGTTAAGGCTACCAATGGTCCTTGTCTATGAGTCAATAAAAAGGTTCAGGAGCAAATTAACCTTAGTATTTTGAGAATGAGAAATGATAGCTGTGATTTTTTTTTTTTTCTGCTCAAGGGAAGAATGGGTACAAATATCAGCAATTTTCAGCCTGTCCCAGGTACAGATTCCTTGGCATCACCTTAGGTTATCACAATACTGGAATGTGTTTACATAGACCCTTTTTGATTTTCATATGATGGTAAATAAGTTGAAATAAATACCATCACTTACCAGCACACAGAAGAGGTGACAGCTGTGTGATACTTCTGCCGATTGAGTAACAAATAATAACAGGATATTTAAGCAAGTCATGGTGACCTCATAGTATCCTGTTCAATAATTTCATTTTGTAGATGTAGAAACACAGAAAGCAGTCACCTTGCTCAAAGCTACACAGCTAGATGGTGACAAGTAGGATGAGAAGCCAGGCCTGTTAACTTTTTAGTCAAGGGTCTGACAGTCTGTTAATGCTGAATTTGCTGTTTCTTTTAAAATGGGGGACTGTAGGGGCTGGAGAGATGGCTCAGAGGTTAAGAACACTGGTTGTTCTTGCAGAAGACCCGGGTTCGAATCCCAGCACCCACATGGCAGCTAACAACTGTCCTAACTCCAGTTCCAGAGGATCCAATGGCCTCTTCCGTCCTCGCAGGCATTGCACGACACAGGTGCACTTACCTACATGCAGGCAATATACTCATACACATAAAATAAAAATAGTAAATAAAATATTTAAAAAAAATAGGGGACTGTAGTCAGGTAGAGGAGTCTGTAGTTAGGTAGAGGAATGAGTATACTTTGCTTATGAACAAAGGCCTTTGCCATAGAATTAAGGCTACCCACCTGGACGGCTGGGAGGTTAGGATAGATAAGGGTCCAGATGGGCCAGAGATGGGAATTGATGCATGTGCACATAGTGGCCATGCTGTACAGTTGCACGGGATTTCATCTACTAGATCTGCGCTTCACCCTGTCTAGCCTGTCTGGCTGATGGGTGGGGTGCTGCAAAAACTTAGGCCCACCATTCAGATCAATGTATGGAACAGCAATGGCGACCTGAAAGTCACTGTGGCAGTGTCATCCGATGGGAGGTCTGCAATCTGTCTCCCTTAAGTCCCCAAGAAAGGACTCTATTAGAGTTGGCTGAGGAGACAATAAACAGCACACCCGCTTGACCAGCCATGATAGCACCTGAAAGCAATACAGTGCTTAAATGATATACTTTGCAGAGAAATGAGAACTATTCTGAAATAGCATTCCTTTCATATCTAGGACATGACCTTATCCAGTAACATTCTTCAACTCAGCTGCAGATTTGGGAAGTCTGGCTTTGGTTCCTTAAATGCAGTCCTTCCAAACCAGAATCATAGATGAAGTTTACTCAAAAAAAGTATCTAAAAGGCAAATTTCTTGAGACACCATAAAATTATGTGGACTGAAGCAGTTATTGGATTGATTAGCAAAGACTCAACGTTGGGCAATAATGAGACTCAGGCAGGCTTGAACAATGAAATGCTCTAATTGATTTTACGCATGTGGAATGATACACACACACTCCAGAGCCTGCTTTAATGAATCTACATGTTGTGTGCATACAGATTTCACAGTGGGTCAATTATACCACCCAGATGCTTTGGGACCTTACACTCTAATTTGAAAGCCATTTTACTACTATGGCATAAAGGTTTCGGGCACTTAAAGGTAGCCTACACCATGAAGTCTGTGGTCAGTTCATTTTCGCTTGAGGGTAAATCAACAGAGTGGCATGTATGCATAACAGCCACGCTCTAAGTTGTTTCAATGAATGGAGCTTCTGGACTCTATGACCATTGATTGGGCTGGAATTCCAGGACCCTGCTTTCAATTAAATTTAAGAGGATTTGACTAGAAGTCTGAACTGATGCTAATTGCTTTTCAAAACACTGGGTAAAAAAACGTGTTCCCGTCTTGCTTGTAGAGAGATGCACCCAGTTCTGCACATGTGCCTAGCTGACAGGAGAGGAAACATGTCCCTTACCTTGCTGGGCAGGGATCCAGATTGCAAGATTTCAGGAGCTGTGGGGGCCTTTGGCTGGTTACACATAGGTTCTCATCAGCAAGCTCCCGGGTCTGTTTGTTCAGGCAGCTCACCACAGCCTCCTGGACACCTGTGTACAAATCACACTGTCAGGCCAGAGTGCAGAATCGGGGTGTGTGGGGGTGATGAAGTGTGGACAGGCAGCTGGTGGGAGGTCTCTATGATTGGTAGAACTCTCTCTACATGTGAGAGGCTGCTGTTTAGAGCACGGTGCTGCTAATCTTGTTAAGCATTATTTTGATCTAGGGCTGGGATTGCAGCTTAGTGGTAGAGTACTTGCCAAGCATGAACAAGGCCCTGAGTTTGAACTCAGGCATCAAAATTTTTTTAAAAAGTATCATTCCATCTGAAAGGAAGTTCTGATAAGCCTGTGGCCTCTATGAGCATGTCTCTTGAAGAGGGCAACTTTCTGAAACTGAAATCCTTTAAAAATGTGGCCAACCTGTATAGCCGTTGATGGTAAAACATGACGATTTAATAGAAGGAGCACAGTAGCAGGGTAAGCAACCACCAGCCAATCAAACAATAACAAAACCCCCCAGGGTCGCAAGACCTTCATGTGTTATATGTTAATGAATGGGAGACTTCTGCCTTTGGAAGTGAGGTCTGAGGCCACATTTTATTATTTGGCATTCCATAAGTAGCTGTGCTCTTGTGGTCTTGAAGGACTCTAGCCATGACTGGCTTCCTTTTGATTCTGGTTAATTTTTTCAGCAGCCTAGGGCAACTTTGGAAGTTGAAGCAAAACATAAATTTATAATATTGATAGTTATAGAAAACTGTGTCCCTCACAGATACCTGCACACCCTACATGGTGTCAGTATATTTTAAGCAGTGACTGACAAAAGATTAGTCCACAGGGTGCTCTGTGGAGACTGTTATGGAACATGGAAACACTTAAATGAATACTGAGCAGACATTTTATTCTGTTGCCTGTAGTCATAATAACAGTTAACACTGAAATAGTGCCTATTTACTCTAGCTACATACTTGGCATGAATTATTCAGTTGTCTCTACAATTCTATGAGACAAACACTATTTTAATGCCCATTTTACAGGAATAGAAACTGAAGCTTAGAAGGGTGAAAAAGACTTGCCCAAGGTCATACAGTTGCTGAATGGTGAAGCCAAGTGTGACTGAGGGCTTAGAACTTACTGACAGCATTAACATTTAAAAATATTAAGAGACCGTCATATCTGCTGTCCTGGAGATCTTCAGAAATAACACAGACATTGGTCTGCAGTCTTTTCAGCACAGTTCAGTTTAAGGGAAGAGGCAAGACAAGACTTTCTTACTAATTTGCTTTCAGCCATTCACAGCTATGTATATAACGACGTCTATATCTAAAGATACCTATTATTAGAACTTTGTATGCAGTGATAGTAGATACGTGAGTTTCCATGTAGTTACATATGAACATATTCTCTTATTTTTACTTTTGGAGTTGCTTCACCAGATGGAACCTAACAGCATACGAAGACCCACTGCTTGTCAGCTCTCCCCCATCTACCCTTGGTTTCTCCAAGAAGTTCTCAACTCTCTCCACAAGAGAATGCTTCCTAAATTGATTGACCTAGGTCACCAAATAAGGTCATCGCTTAAAAAGTGACACTGTAAAACTGATCCTTCCTGATTTCCTGAAGGAAATTCAAACTGATTTCCTTCCTTTTGTGACATCATTTTTGTCTAATAGATTATGGTATTTCCTATGTGGCCATCATGGTAACTTTGGAATTTTCCTTTTTTATTTTCCTAAGTTTTCATAGGTTTCAAGTTTAATTTGTGATGGCCAGTTCAGAGTGGGACATTTCAGATTTATAGATATTTAAATCATCCTATCATATTTTCTAATGCTGATTGTACGATTATCAATGGATCTGGAAATTCATGGTATGATGACATAGCAAAACACGTCACAAGAAACTGTTGCTACTATCTGTGATTTCCCATGGGGATAATCTAGTGTTCTTGAGGTCATGATGTCAAATGAGGCATCAGCTTACTATTATGGTTCCAATCTGAGATATCCCTGAAGGTTCATGAATTGGGAGTTTGCTGGCCAGCTAAAGGGCTTTTGGAAAGTGATTAGATCTGAGGCTGCTACCAATGCTGCTGAAATACTTTTTAAATGCCACCAAGCCATATAGCCACTGATGCTGAAATGTGATAATTTAATGCAGAAGGAGCACAGTGGGATAGGATGACCAAAACCAAATGAATGAAAAACATGAAACAAATTATTGCTGACCTTGGTGGGTGTGTGTGGTGGCTTGTGCCTCTACTTTCAGCACTCAGGAGGGAGAGGCAGGAGGGCTGCTGTGAGTTTGGGGACAGACTATGCTATACAGTGAGTTACAGGCCAGCTTGGCCAATAGAGTGAGACTTGTTTAAAAAAAAATTAAAAACCAATAACCTAAACAACAACAAAAGTCTTTGGCTTAAGGAAAGAATCAATGGATTCGGAGTATGGTGGTATTCTTGTAAGCCAGGTTTATGTGGGGAAGTGGGTCACTAGGCATGTGTCATGGAAAGATCACACAAATGATCCTGGCTAGCTCAAATGGTCAAATCTCTCTCTCTCTCTCTCTCTCTCTCTCTCTCTCTCTCTCTCTCTTTTCCATCCTCCCCCTTTTCTGGCCACCTTAAGAGTGAGAAACTGCTCTGCCATGGGTCCTGCTGCTGAGACGCTCTGCCTCATACAGGTAGGAGGAACCGTGAAGCAAGCCAACCATGGAACAAAACCTCTCAAACTGTGGCCCCAAATAACTCTTCTCCTTTAAATATGCTTCTCTCAGGTAGACGTCATGGTGATGCACACACTGACTAGCACACAAACTGCAGAATCTGGAGCTGCGGTTATACTGGAAATGGGCTTCTAACCACTTTAACACCAACCTCACAAAAGTACAATATCTAGGAATAAATCCAACCAAACAGGTGAAAGACCTCCACAATAAAATCTTGAAGATACCAGCTGGGCGTGGTGGCCTTTCCTTTAGTCCCAGCACTCTGGAGCAGAGGCAGATGGAGCTCTGTGGGATCGAGACCAGCCTGGTCTACACAGTGAGTGCCAGGTCAGCTGGGGCTACAGGGAGACCCTGTCTCAAACAGACAAAAAAAAAAAAAAAAACCAAGAAACAAACAAAAAACTTTTAAGATAGGGAAGAAAGAAGCTGATAAAGACACTAGAAGATGGGAAGACCTGTGCTCCGTGCTCATGTGCAGGCAGGATGGATATTGTGACAATGACTGCATACTGTGACTTAAAGATTCAATACATCCTTATCAAAATCTCAGTGACAGTCTTAACAGAAGTAGAAAAACAATCCTAAGATTATATGGAAGCACTAAATGGCTAAATAGCTAAAGCACAAAAAGCAAGTTGAATATACCATAATACCTAATCTCAAATTCTATATCAATGAAACCAGCATCACACTGGTACAGAACAAGTTCAGTGGAATAGAACAGAGGACCAGAAATAATTTTTGACAAAGGTATCAAAAGCATACATGAAGAAAAGACAGTCTCTTTAGCAAATAATATTTGGAAAACTAGATCTCCACATGAAGAAAAATGAAACTAGATCCATATCTCTCATCCTGCTCAGAAATCAATTAAAAAGGGCTCAAAGACATTTATGTAAGACTTGAAACTTTACAGGTAAAACATCTTAAGGTGTAGGCAAGACTTTTTTGAACAGTATTCTAATAGCACACAAAATAATCCCAAGAATTGACATGTGAGATCACATGAAATTAGGAAGCTCTGTACATCAAAGGAAATAATCACCAAAGTGAACAAAGAGCCCACAGAATGAGAAAAAAATGATACTTATGTGCCCAGAAAGAGATTAATATTAGGATATATAAAGAGTTGCAAAAATTAAATACCAAAAAATCAAGTCATTGAATCACTAAATGGGCTAAATCACTAGAACTGAATAGTTCTCAAAAAAAGAAATATATGGTTAGAGATCTGGCTCAGTGGGTAAAAGCACTTGAAACCTGATGACCTGAGTTCAGTTCCTGGAACGCATGTGAACAGGCAGATGCAGTAGCCTGCATCTATAATCTTAGTGCTCCTATGGTGGAGTGGGAGACAGGAGAAATGTCTGGAAGCTTCTAGGACAACTAGCCGAGAGTACATGGTGAGGTGGCAGAAACAAGAGATCCTGGCTCAAAACGGTAGAAAATGAGAACCAGTTCCTGACAGTTACCTTGTAACCTCCACATGCATGTTGTGGTATGCAATTGCACACACCCACATGCCACACTAAAAGCTGAAAATAGAAGATACAAATGGCTAACAGGTATTTGAAAAGTGCTAAACATGTTTAGCCATCAGGGAGATGCAAATTAGAACTGCTTTAACATTGTATCACTGTCAAGCAGAATGGCTGTCATCAAGAAAACAAACGGCCAAAAGGAGGAACGTGCATTCGATGCTGGTGGGAATGCAACCTTGTGCAGCCACCATGGAGACAAGGATGGAGGTTCTGCAAACAACTGAAAATGGACCTGCCATATACTTCAGCGCTACCACTGCTGTGGTACATACCCAGAGGGTTGTCATTCCATATGCATATAGATATTTGCCTATCCATGTTTATAGCTGCTCTATTCATAATATCCAGGAAGTGGAACCAGGTAGATAGATATCTATCAACAGATAAATGGCTAATGAAAGCGTGTGGCACATATACAATGGAATTTTATGCATCCATAAAGCAAAATGAAATCATTACATTTGCTGGGAAATGTATACAGCTCAAAATCATTGTTAAGTGAAATAAACGAGTCTCACAAAACAAAGATTAACATATATTTTCTCATATGAGGAACCTAAATTAAAAATTATACTATGTGGGGGCTGGAGAGATGGCTCAGTGGTTAAGATCACTGACTGTTCTTAACCCAGGTTTGAATCCCAGCACCCACATGGCAGCTAACAACTGTCCGTAACTCCAGTTCCAGGGGATCCCATGGCCTTTCCTGTCCTCGCGGGCATTGCATGACATGGGTGCATTTACCTACATGCAGGCAATACATACATACACATAAAATAG